AAAACTGCCAGCACTTAATACAGCTGGAAGCTTTAGAAAAGATAATTTGCAAAAGCAGATTCTCCTAAGCTTTTAAGAGTTGGTCCTATACCCTGGGATAAAAAACACTCATTTGAGAATTATTTGTTCCCTTCCCTACTTAACAACACAAATCCAGAAAATATTAATTATGAAAAGTGATGTAGAGGAAAGTTCCTTTAAAAATGCTGGTAATGTTAAAGGGAGCATTTTGCATTGTGGCACCTACGAGGTATTGAAGGAGGGGAAACATGAGTGGCCCATTCTAGCTAGAAATGATTGCCTAAGTGATTGGAGAGGACTAGAGAAGAGGTGCGCCCGCTGACAGCAGCTGGAGAAGGAGCCAGTGCACCTGGCCCATTCACTGAGTGCTGTCTGCTGCTCCACTCCTCCCTTACACTTCCCAGGCCCCTCAAAGACATGCCCTGGGCTTGAAGTTCCTGCTCCGCCTCTGGAAGTTCTTGGGGAAGAGTGCCCTGGTTCTGAGAGTCTTTGAGCCCTGAATCCTTGGCCATTTGCTCTGGGGGCCGGGTGATTAGCCATGTCTGCCAGTAGCCCATGCATTGCTCACCCTTTTGTGGTCTTTCCAGCCATTTAATTCAGTCTTTACTGCCACTCATGCTGGTTTGGGAGGAGCCTCTTTGTATCAGTATGGAGCACGTTGACCTAGGACTACTTACATCAGAATCTCCAGGCAGGCTTGTTAAACATGTAGACTCCTGATTTCCAACCCTTCCACCCCCCCCACCCCCAAAAAACCAAAAACAAACGAGTTGCCGACAAGTCGATTCCGACTCATAGCAACCCTATAGGACAGGGTTGAACTGTTCCATAGGGTTTCCAAGGAGTGCCTGGTGGATTCAAACTGCCGACCTTTTGGTTAACAGCCAAACTCTTAACCATTATGCTACCAGGGTTTCCAATTTCCAACCCTGACTTAATGAATCACAAAGGACTGGGGTGGGATGTAGGAATCTGCTTTGTAAACAGGTCCTCCAGGATTCTCAGGCACCCAATGCTAAAGCTTGAGAATCACTTGAATAAAGAGTATCTTCTATTTGTTAACCTAATTCCCTCTTCTTTTCTGCCTTATTGGGAGGCTAAAATGGAAAAAGAATAGGTATTTCTTCTGGGAAACCCTCTCTCTGAATCCCTAGGCATGGGGACACTCCCTCTTCTGTATTCCAGAGCAATGCATGTGCAATTCTGTTAGAGCACTGGCCCAATTTAATGGAATGGTTTGTTTACCTCTTCATAGGCAAGCATCATTTCTTGACCATCTTAGTCCCAACCCTAAAACAATGCCTGGCATTTAGTAAAAAACAAAACAGCCAAAAACCAACTGAATCATGGCAACCAAACGTGTGTCAGAGTAGAACTGTGCTCCATAGGGTTTTCAGTGGCTGATTTTTTCAGTAGATCTCCAGGCCTTTCTTCCGAGGTGCCTCGGGGTAGACTCGAACTTTTGACATTTCAGTTAGCAGCTGAGCTTAACCATTTGTACCACCCAGGTACTCTTTAAATGTTTGCTGCATAAATCAGTCTTTGGTATGATTCCTGGACTTCTGGGAGACCTCACTTTGAAAGGCATAGACTAGAAGACGTGCTCAAGGAAACAGTCCTTGAGGCAGAAAGAGCAAATGGAGGGTCCGGTACCCCTTCCCCCATTCACGTTTTTCCTTGGGCCTCACAATGTCATTGTCTTATCATTGTCATCTTTGATAGCTACCATTTATTAAGCACTTTGTGCCAGCATTGCACTTAAGCACTTCACGTGCATTTTCTCATTTAATCTTCCCAGCATCGCTATCCTCGTGTGTCAAATGAGAAAACTGAAGCTACACAAGGATTTCTTAAGGTTCCACGAGTATTAAATGGTCAAAGGGCAGAGCTGGGATTAGAGCTCAGATCAGACTGACAGCCTAATTTTTAAACACTAGTGGTAAAAGGCACCTCTGCCAGCCCTGGAGCCTCAGAATAGTTTGATGCTGTGCCGATTGAGTTATGCCTTAAACAACTTAAGCTCGGAGTGGCAGTTTAGATCAAACCTATCAGGCCGTTTACACTTGCCTCTCTTTACCAAATCCTTCCTGAACCTCATGCCATCTGCCTGGGTCAGACTGTCAAGGCTCAAGAAATGCTCAGCCTTATAAATCTGCAGCCATGACCCCATGTGCCTTCCAAATTCAAATACTTTGACATACTTTGGCTTTAAATACTTAAAACAAATGTATTAGAGTATGTCATAAATATTTATAGTGCCATATAAACCAAAAGTCACGCCAAAGCCAACTCATCATTATTTGGCTTTTGCATTTTCAAATGTCGGTCACGTACTTTTAGAGGGCTGTTCAGGCACGAACCTGTAAGCTAATGGAGTTTCCATGTCCACGTCAGTACTGTGGTGGTGGCTGGGGCATTCCAAATACCTCCTTGATGTCTTTGTGTTAATGATTTATGAATCAAAATGAATTATTTGCCATCTGATCCAAAAAAACGCGCTGAGGTTTATGAGAAGGGTGATCTATGGCCCGAGGGCACACCGGCAGGGAGACAGAATTCTCTGGGTGCCCAGTGTGCTCTGAGGACAGGTGGGGAGAGACATACTCCGAGGCTTCAATCACAACAGCTCCTGCCAACGAAAACACGCAAGGAATGACTTCCTTAATCCCCTTCTGTTTATGAAGGCATTTTAAAGGCTGCAATTCACATTCTCAGACACTCTGAGAACACATAAACAGTTCTATCACTCGGCAGAAGGCTCATTTAAAGTGGAAAAAGGCATAAAACATAGAAACTATACCATATAAACTGGGAGCATCGTAGTTTGCTGTTGTTCAGGTTTTAATAGTTTATTTTTAGCAGTTTTGAGTTACCGAAAGTTGTTCAGAAAGTAGAGCTCTTCTACACCCCTTTTGCTCCTGCGTCATACAGTTTTAAAAAGGGGGCTTTGCTGAAAGTTCAGAGATGCTTGAAAGCCATGTCTTCTTTGAAAGCTCCAAAACATATTAAGTTCTTTCACTAATTCTTATTAGGCATGAACTATGCTACCAGCTCTGTGTTCCTTCCAGTTAGTCGCTGTCATAGATTGAATTGTGTCCTCCAAAAATATCTGTCAACCTGGCTAGGTCATGATTCCCCGTACTGCATGATTGTTTACCATTTTATCATCTGATGTGATTTCCCTATGTGTTGTAAATGCTATCACTATGATGTAATCAGATGGATTAGCCATAGTTCTATTGATGAGGTCTACAAGATTAGATAGTGTCTTAAGCCAATCTCTTTTGAGATATAAAAGATAGAAGTGAGCAGAGAGACATGGGGACCTCATACCACAGCGCCGGGAGCAGAGCGCGTCCTTTGCAGTTCCTGCGCTGAGATGCTCCCAGACCAAGGGAAGACTGATGCATCACAAGGACCTTCCTCCAGAGCCAACATAGAAAGCCTCCCCCTGGAGCTGATGCCCTGAATTTGGACTTGTAACCTACCAGACTGTGACAGAATAAATTTCTCTTTGTTAAAGCCATCCACTTGTGGTATTTCTGTTACAGCACTAGATGACCAAGATAGTAGCTAAGTGCGTTTCATAGTTGGCACCACCTGGAGACTACACATTTCTATGATAGGGACAATGAATAGAATGGTCTACTTTCCAAAGAAGAATGGTCTGAGAATTCTGGGAACAGTAGGGTACATGGTTGTTCTTCCAAATACATAATCTCTACTGAAATTTTGAACACTGGTATATTTTAGATGGCAGGAAGCCAGGGACAAGTCTCATAAACAGGCCATCAATTAGCTTTCTTACTGAAAAAAAACCAAAACAAAACTTTTATAGTATCTGATTTTGTTGCCCATCACAAACAGCTTTATAAATTGATCGACCCTTTATGTGAAGAGTATTGGCTTCCTAAATGATTATTTGCTCATTATTTTATCAGTGTTTGAACTTCAAAAGAAAAACTGTTATATCTGTGTTGAGGTCAAGTCAGTAGGTCAGTTTTTAGGCTGTTTTCTCATTTCCTCATGGCCATAAGTAACTTCAAAACGAAAGCAAACAGAGGTTAAGAATCAAGCAATCACATTTTAATCAATAAACACGAACACTCGCTTATTAACCAATTAGAATAAAATAGTAATTTATCCAAGAATTCAAAAGATACCACCACCTTGGAAACAAAGCGCAAGAATCTTCGCCATAAACTCTTCCCCACTTACAGAATTAGAAGTAACAAAAATTTACTCAGAATAAGGCTTGGAATAATCTAAAAATTTCCAAGTATATTTTAAAGCTAAAGTGGATTATTTTGCACTTAGTGGGAAATACGTAGATATCTGACAACTCAGTGAATAAAACTATTACATGGATGAACTGTTGAACATCAGGGGAAGAGATTAATTATATCCACATCATGTGCCAGGTTTATACCCATTTATTGCTTCTCCTCTGCCTCCCTACCCCTTGCTCTGCTCTGTACCACAGGAAATCATGTTTCCTAGGCCCTGTGCCAGCTGGCTTCCAGGTAGGGATGGGATGGTAAGGCACTGGTGGATGGCCAGAGGGCAGAATGGGTGAAATCAGGGTATTTCTCTATATCTGATTTGGCTTTAGCACTGGCTTCATCACAGGTGGTGGCTTTGTCCCTGTCATGGCTCCATTTTCCACACTCCCTCCCTGCTTCTATCTCCCTCTGGGAAACCTCCCTCACAATGCTAGCTCCTGTGGACGGCCCCAGCTTCTCAACTTTGGGTACCATACCTCCTCTCATTATCCTTATAGCCATAGGCATGGTAACAGCTTCATGCCGTTTAGCTTTTCTTTTTCATGTGTGAATCAATTTCCTGTATTAAATTCCCTCTGTCGAAACACCTAGAATGGTACTGCTTTCTTGACTCGATCCTGACTGATACATATTAGAATCACTAGATTTTTTTTTTTTTTTTCTCTAACTTATCAGGGCATTTTTTTGGATTGCAGATTGCCCTACGCCAATCAAAAAAAAAAAAAAAAAAAACACTCAAACCACACTCAATACCCATTTCCTGCAATATAGATGAATGAATATCCCCTCAGCTGTTTTTTTGTCAAGTACTGGGATTCTCTTTGCCAGGTGCAAATTGAATCTTATTTTCTACCAACGTCACCACCAATCATGGTGGACACAGCCAAGAGTCAACTCAGGAGGTCATTTTTGTTGTATGTACTAAGTGTGATAACAAGAAGTAATACAAACAGAAATTAATCTTAAGAGGAAACTACAGTCATCCAATTAATAACATCGTAAGAAACGAGTCTCTGCAAAGTCAGAGAAACGTAAGACAGCACCAAAAAGTTTCTTCCCCTGTTGGATCAATAATATTCCTGAAATTAAAATCCCTTAGAAGTTCTGGAGATTTCAACAGCCTCAAAAAAAAAAAAAAAAAAAAATCTGATTCACCAATGAGTGACCCATAGATTCTTGGCGAGAGCACACCCACGGGATGGTTATTTTTCAGAAGTAGAGTTCCTTGGTGAGCATTGAGACCACACACGGGATCTGCTTCTTCTTGTGGAACTGTGGGACATTAGACTGGGATTCAAAGTCCCTGGCCACCATGAAGTTCACTCTGGTGAGGATCTGCATGATCTCCAGGTGTTTCCCGTGCTCATTCAGGACGGAGCAGAGGGCCTGCACAAACCAGGAGCCTCTTCCTGAGTTCCTCCAAGAGTAATAGCCTTGAATAGAAGAGAAAGGAGCGGATCAAACCGATTGGTCAGGGCTCGAACTCAGCACTGAGAATGAGCTCTGGGGCCTTCACACCTGCTTTTCTGAATACATTTCACTCTACTTTGCATGTGAGTCATGAATATGAGGTTGCTGTGCTAAGATGCTCAACAAATGCTTTTTGTGTTCCAGCATGAAATCCTGTAACATCCAACATCAGTAAGCACGAACGCTGGTGGATATTGCAGGGAACTCTATCAATTTTGATAGAGGCACCCATGTGATATATAACAGATACCTATGTGAGTATGAGATAAATCTGCACATAGCGTTTTCCCAAGGAAATGTAGAACCTACTCCGGAACTCTGGGAATTCCTCACCATCCTTTTGGGGATGAATGCTACTTTCTAACCCAAGCACAGAGAAAGAAACTTGCAGGGGACCACTTGGAGAATTTTGAGATATGCTCCTGCTGCTGGGGGACATAGAGAAATAGGGCCTGGTTTCTGCTGAAGAAATCTAGAGGCAAGACATGGGCTAAATGACCAACTGCCTTAGCACTGGTCTAAGGGTTGGAGACCTGCTGCCCTGGATGGCCAGCTCTGCCAGGGCAAGGGATGTCTATGGCAGAGAGCTGGTTTTCGGGCTGTCCTGGGTCCTGGCAAGGGGACCTCAGCAAAAAGAGGCTGTACGTTTACCATGGAGGATGCCCAGGAGCTGAGGAAGGAATCACAATGCAACCCAGGAATGAGATGCAAACCCTCAGGCAAGCAACTGCAGGAGCAGGGGCCCAGGGGACCCAGGAACTCAGGAAAGCACCCAGCATTGATCATCTGACTGCTCAGAGCACCAACAACCCAACTGAGTTTTTCTACACAAATATATGCTTCCGTTATACTACCTCCCTTTCGTAAGCAGTTACCAATTTATCAGCTGCCGTTGAGTAGATTCTGACTCATGATGACCCAATGTCTGTCAGAGTAGAACTGTGCTCCACAGGGTTTTAAATGGCTGATTTTTTGGAAGCAGACTGCCAGGTCTTCCTTCTGAGGCACCTCTGGGTGGACTCAAACCTCCAGTGTTTCTGTTGGCAGTCGATCGTGTTAACTGTTTACACTATCCAGGGACTCCTTCATGAGCAGTGAGACCAAATTATTTTCTATCTTATAAGATCCTTAAAACACACTGACCTGTTTACTGTAACCACTACCTTTGTTATCAAGCACTTGACAAGATCACTAGTCCAGTCGGAAGAATTCTAAATTGTAGTGGTTTTTACCCAAAACAAAGGAAGGGCTTTCACTGAACACTCAGGCAAACACAGTGTTTGGGAACTGAATAAGCTTGCTGATTACTGGCATTTTCTGGTACTTGTTTACAGGGTAAAGTGGTCAGGACTCCTGGTCTGAGCCACAGCTTACTGTGTCCCCATATCTCCATCTGACCTTGGGCACATCACTTAAGCTCACCCAACTGCAATTTTTTTTTCCCACCTGTAAAATAAGGATAGCAATAACACTAGCTATCTGCAGTTACTGTGAGGATATGAAGGAGATGGCATGAAAAGCACTCTGTAAACTTAAAGCGCTATAGAAATGCTTATTCCTGTAATTAACAATAGCCACAGTAATAAAAATAAGAGAGCTCAGCTTTCCTGGGAAGAAAAGTAAATATATCCCTGCAGTAGGCAAAATAATGCTCCCCCTCAAAGATACACGCCCTAATCCTGGAGCCTGTGAATGTTTCCTTACATAGCAAAAAGGACTTGGCAGATGGGATTAAGGTTATGGGCCTTGAGATGGGGAGATTGTTCCAGATTATGCAAATTAGTCACAGGAGTCCTTAAAAGTGGAGAACCTGTCCTGGTTGTGGTCAAAGAGAGATGTTATGATGGAAGAAAGGTCAGGGAGATGTGAGGTTGCTGCCCCTGAAGATGGTACAAGAGGGCCACAAGGAATGTGGGTCATCTCTAGAAGCTTCTAGAAAAGGCAAGGAAATGGATTCTGCCCTAGTTACCAGAAAGGAACACAGTCTTGCCAACACCTTGATCTCAGTCCAGTGAAACCTGTGTCAAATTTCTGAAGTAAAGAACTCTAAAATAATAAATTTGTATTGTTTGAAGCCACTATGGTTGTGTTAATTGCTGCAGCAGCAATCAGAAACTGCATTTTGATGTTGGATTGGAATGGTTTAGTTAGCAGGCAGTGGGTGCAACTTGATACCTGGAACTGTGGAATAAGCGAAGAGGAAATCAGCTTCAACTGGAATCTTGTACTGGGGATTAGCATCTGTGTCACTGACACTCCCTGAGTCGGCCTGGATCCCATCATCCAACTCTGTCCCACGGCAAGCCTAAAATCAAAGCAGAGATTGCCTATGGAGTGGGAACGGAAACGTGTGTGTCATTCACTGCTGTCTCTGAGAACCGTGCTTAGCGTGTACTAAAACCCATTGCCGCCAAGTCAATTCCGACTCATAGTTGACACTGTTGAACAGAACAGAGAACTGCCCCATAGAGTTTCCAAGGAGCGGCTGGTGGATTTGAAATGTTGACCTTTTAGTTAGCAGCCACAGCTCTTAACCACTGTGCCACCAGGGCTCCAGGGCATGGACTAGGAGCTCAATAATGTGATGAATGAATGAATGAATGCTCTGTGAAATTACTAAGCAAAGCAAATAAAGCAATTGCAGTGTTCTTCAAAAGAGATATACAAAAGACCAGCAAGTATACTAAAAGGTGCTGAACGTCATGAGTCATTAGGGAAACGCACATCATAACCACGGCGAGATACCACTTCACACCCACTAGGATGGCTATTAAAAAAAAACAATCAGAAAATAGCAAGTGTTGGTGAGGATGTGGAGAGACTGGAACGCTCGTGCATTGCTGGTGGAAATGTAAAATCATACAGGTACAGCAGCTGTGGAAAACAGTTTGGTGGTTCCTTAAAAAGTTAAATATAGAATTACCATATGACCCAGTAATTCCACTCCTAGTTACAGACCCAAAAGAACTGAAAACAGTTACTCAAACACATGTACATGCATGTTCACAGCAGCACTATTTACAACTGCCAAAAGGTGGAAACAACCCAAATGTCCACTAATGGATGAATGGATAAACAAAATGTGGTATATATACACAATGCAGTATTATTCAGCCATAAAAAAAATGAAGTATTGATACATGCTAAAATGTGGATGGACCGCAAAAACATTACGCTAAGTGAAAGAAGCCAGGCACATTTATATGAACTATTCAGATGAGGAGAGCCCTGGTGGCACAGTGGCTAGGAGCTCAGGCTGCTAACCAAAAGGTCGGCAGTTTGAATCCACCAGCTGCTCCTTGGAAACACTATGGGGCAGTTCTACTCTGTCCTATAGGGTCACTGTGAGTCGGAATCCACTCAACGGCAACGGGTTTGGTTTTTTATCTATTATTCAGATGAGGTAAATCTGTAGGGACAGAAAGTAGATTGGTGGTTGCCAGGTGTTGGGGGTGGGGGTGTAGAGAGTGAATGCTTAATGGGTATGGGGTTTCCTTTCGGGGTGATGAAAATGTTTTGTTAACCATATAGAGGCGGTGGTTCCAAAACATTGGGAATACTAAATTCCACTAAACTGTTCACTTTAAAATGGTTTATTTTATGTTATGTGAATTTCACCTCAATTTAAAAAGTGCAGTGAAAAACAGAAGTATTGCAGTGTCTTAAAGAAAACATCACAATTGTGATCCACTGCAAATACATATGCCATCCATTTAAAAGGTAGAAAAACAAAGCCCCACATTCACACACCTCAACTGAAATAGCACGTGGACTTGTAAAAATGATGTAGTCACAGTAAATGTAATCTTCCCCCATTTTTAATTGCACTGGCATTGAAAAGTGGTTACCTGAATGAAGAAGAGTTTGGGTTTCTCTAAAAGCGTTTTGCATCTATCACCCCTAAAGCAGGCTGTCAAATCCTTTATGGGTGTCATTCCATCTGTTCCATAAATTAAGTTTTCTTCTCCATGGCTTAACATGATGCAGGCAAAGCAGGCTGAATTTGTATGGTCCTCTTCCGAAGCTGCAAGCAAGAGATGTGAACACTGAAAAGTCAGAACATCAGTCCCAAAGGATCTCAGGTAGAGTGTTCCCCTCCAGCCTTGCAGCTTTCAGTGGTTGAGGGAGAGGCACCGATACAGGAGGAGGAGCAGGTGGACCAGGTTCCTTTGGAGGGACTGGACTTCACCTGGGCCATTACTCTCAAACACTTGCCCTAAGTCCCATCGTACCCTAGATGGCATCCACTTGACGGCAATGGGTTTGGTGTAACCCATTAGACAGTGTGATGTAATAAAAAGCAGCTGTTCCAGAGGTGGAAGACCAGGGCTCAGTTTCACTTCTGCCCCTCCTAACTGTACATCTTTTATCTTCTCTAAAGTCTATCACTGAATTTATAAAATGGGCATGATAATATTCTGTTTTCCAACATCGCAAAGGTTGTGTTAAATATCTAATGAAGTAATGTGGGAACGTGCTTTAGAAAAAATAAAGTACTTCAGAAGTGTATTGGGATTATTAAAGGAGCCCTAGTGGCACAGTGGTTAAAGCACTTGGCTGCTAATTGAAAGGTTGGCAGTTCAAGCCCACCAGCAGCTTCGTGGGAGAAGAGACCTGGTAATCTGTTCTGTAAAGGTCACAGCACAGGAAACCCTATGGGGCAGTTCTACTGTCCTATTGGGTCGCTATGAGTCAGAATCCACTCGATGGCATACAACAACATGGGGATTATTATTCTTTACCTGCCACCAAAGACGAGGGAGACCCCCGGTGAGATGGATTGGCACAACAGCCACAATGACAGATCTGAGCATGCTGGTGATCCTGAGGATGATGCAGGACTCAGCAACGTTTTGTTGTGTTGTACATAAGGTCGCCATGGGTGGGAATCCACTGGAGAACATCTATCTATCCTATCTAGCTTACCTGTCTATCTAGCTTATCTACCTATTTAATCTATCAATCTAATCTAATGATCTTATCTGTCTATTTAAATCTATCCAGTCTATCCATCTCTAATCTATTGATCTTATCTATCTGTCTACCTATCTATCTTGTCTGTCTGTCTATCTATCTATCTGTATTTACCTGCAACCAGGGAAAGGCTTACAGTTATACTCCATTCTGGACAGAATGATATAGATTTGTTACTTCTTGAGGTATTACCCTTTTGAAACTGAGAGTATTCTGTATATTCTGCTGTCATTTAAACTGTCATCTTTTGATGGAGATATCTAAGTCCTCAAAGAGTCCTGCCTATCCCAGAGACAGGTCTGGAGTGGCCAAGAAGAAAAGACTTCCCACGCTGGAATTCCTCTGCCCTGCCAAGGTGTCCTCCCGAGGCCAGCGTGGGTTCTGCTCGCCTCGAGTGCAGGAAGAAGACAGAGGGAGGAGGGGTAAGCGCACACCTTGTTGAAGCAGGTTCTGCATCTTGCTACACGAGCAGTCGTTGTAGACGGTCACTTCAAAGCCCAGGCTTTTGAAGCACTTGAAAAGGGCCTCAGCATCTTTGTCCGTTCCATTCCGGGTGTCCATACCTGTGGGAACCAAGCAACAATTGTGGATGAGCAATCTCTGGCCAAACACCAGCATGTGGGTATCATCAAGAGTCCCTGGGAGATGCAAATGGTTAATGTGCTCTGCTGCTAACTGAAAGGTTGGAGGTTCAAGTCCACTGCGTGGCACCTTGGAAGAAAGGCATGGAGATCTACTTCCAAAAAATTAGCCATTGAAAACCCTGTGGAGCACAGTTCTACTCTGACACACATGGAGTCGACATGAGTCGGAGTTGACCGGAAGCCAACTGGTAGGGTAAAAAGGTATCGTCATGCCAGACACTGAATGCAGCTCCAGCGTAAATCCTTTGAGTATGCAGAATGCCTTCCAGGGTCACATTTTAAAGGAACAAATGAAATGAAAAGTGACTCCAAAGGACAGGGTCATTCAGCCTACCCACAAAAAGTGAGCCCCATCTTGATAATTCTCAGCTCTAGACAAGGCCAAACAGCTCCTATATTCTCCCCTTCATTCTTCGCCCTTTGGTCAAAGTCCTACATCAGCTAATACATACAGTGAGAGCTCAGACTGAAAGCTCCTGATTTCCTGGCATTCCTTTCCCCTGGAGGGGAATACATGTCTTGACACAAGTTAAAGGAAATGGAAGGGAACATAAAAGGCCAGACCATGTCCATAGCACCTACCTGTCATTTTATCAAAGTTCTTGTTGTTTATTATGATACATTTGCCCAACTTCTCGAAATTCATGTTATACTGATGTGCGGGCACACTTGCTTGGTCCCGGGTTATCTTGATCGGCTGTGCTGAGACATTTTTCTTCTTACTGGAGAAATATAAAGCTAGTCAGGGGCTATGAAAGAAGTCTGGACAGTAATAGCCTCTTGATTTTACTATGAAAGGACACTCCCAAGAAAGCCACCACCTGGGGTGGACAGCTGGTTGGTTGTTCATATTAAAAAGAAACCAAGGAACAGGGTTCTCTGCTGAACTTCATTAGATGCCAGAGAAATGCAAATGAAAATCACCACAAGATACCAGTGTACACTCACCAGAATGGCTACAATGTAAAAGAAACTGTGTGTTGTCCACCACGTTTAGCACCTGGAATTATCATAAACTGCTGATGGGAGCCTACTTCCTACAATCATTTTGGAAAACAGGCAGCGTCTACTAAAACTGAATTTACGCATAGCCTATGACCGAGCAATTCCACCCCTGGATATATACCCACAAGAAAGGCAAACACATGTTTACCAAAAGACAGGTCCACGAATGTTCACAGCAGTACTGTTTGGCAACAGTCCCTATTATTACAGTGTCCCTTAAAAAGATACGTTGAAGTCCCAACCACTGGCAATTAAGAATGTGACCCTGTTTGAAAATACGGTCTTTGAAGATGTTGTCAGTTAAATTTACACGAGGGCATACTGGAGTAGGGTGGGTCCTAATCCAGTAGAGAAGAAGGCCATGTGAAGACTGAGGCGTGATGCATCTACCGCTATACCACTAACGAAGGAACACCAAGGATCGCTGGTCATCACCAGAAGCTAGGTAACAGGCATGGAACTTATTCTACATCAGAGCCCTCAGAAGTAATCAACACAAGCTGACATCCTGATTTCAGACATCTAGCCGCCAGAACTGTGAGACAATGAATTTTTGTTCTTATAAGCCACCCAATTTGTGGTACTTCGTTACGGCAGCTGCAGGACACTCTTACAATCCCAAATAGAAAATAATCCAAATGTCTATTTACAGTAGAATGGGTAAATTGTTGTACAGTCATATAATGAAATATTATATAATAGTGAGTGAAAGAAGCCATATACAAAAGGGTACATCTTGTATGATTCCATTTCTATAAAGTTCAAAAATATAATCCCTGCTTTAGAAGTCATGACAGTGGTTTTCCCTATGCTGGGTGGCTTAGGGACTGGAAGGGGACAAAAGGACTTTCTCAGATGCTGGTCATATTCTGTTTCTGATCTGAGCGCTGGTTATATGGGCGTGTCAGCTGATGAAAATTCTTAAGTATGTGTACTTTTCTACATGGATTTTATAACTCGATACCATTTGTATTAAAAAGAAAAAAATGAATAGGGCAATGAAAAAAATAACGAGGCTCCTTCTATCCCCAACACTGTCTGGTTTACCAAAAGCATGGCACACAGACACTGCAGTTGGAGCATCAGACTTAATTTAGAGGCTAGAGAAAAAAATGTGGAATGATAGGGTCAGAAGCAGTCTTACTAGTCGTTCACTAAAATGTAAGCTCCATGAGAGAAGAGTTTTTTTATGAGTTCTGAAAATTGTTGAATCCCCAACTACTCAAACAATGCCTGGTACATAATAGCTGCTCCATAAATACGAATGAATGAATGGAGTTTTGTCCCCTTGTTTTATGGACAGGTAACCTGCAATCCGAGAAAGGCAGGGGTTTTCCAAGGTCTCATACCTAGTCCTCAGACTTCCATGTCAGAGTCCCAAAACTCTATGGCTTGGGTATTTGTTAGACTGATTCGCCAGCCAGTCTCCCAACACTCTTGCCTAAAGTTGGGAGAAGCAAAGTGTTAAGTGAAAACTAAGCTTATGTTACCTGACAAATGTGGGTCTAAAGGTATTTTACTCTGAGTTTTGCTTTAATTCAATCTTTTCTGTTGGAGTATCTCAGAATCCCTGAAGGGACATGGCCTTTCACCTCGGTCCAGATTACAGATTAGCTCTGTATGTCTAACCTTCAGGTTCCACACTGTCACTTTTATACTGCAACATGACTTCATCTTCCGCTTTCATGGGGCCAAATTTCTTCCATGGTATCACATGGGATCATTTTTGTTTTTAGACGATAAATACCCTGAATCTGCTTTGCAATCTTCGCTAAGCTCCTTTCTCCCTTTGCTTTCTGTATGGTCTACAGGGGTGATACCAGTTTTTTTTTTTTTAATTTAACATCTTTTCACGTGTTTATTTGCCATCCATATACCTTCTTTGGTGTAATGTTGCTTTATGTCTAATTTTTGTAAATTTTATTTATTTTGTTGTTGAGAATATACACGGCAAAACATACACCAATTCAACCATTTCTACACGTACAATTGAGTGGCAGTGATTGCATTTCTTCGACTTGTGCAACCATTCTCACCCTCCTCTGAGTTGTTCCTCTCCCATTAACATAAACTCCCTGCCCCCTACAGTTCCTATCTAATCTTTCGAGTTGCTGTTGTCACTTTGATCCCATATAGATAGTTCTTAAAGAGCATAATGCTCAAGACAGACCTTGTATACTAGATAAGCTAAACTATTGTTTGGTTTTAAGAAGACTTGGGGGGATATTTTTGGTTTAAAGTTTAAACGTCATCTCAGGGAAATAGTTTTGGAGGTTCATCCAGCCTCCACAGCTCCAGAAAGTCTGGAGTCCATAAGAATTTGAAATTCTGTTCTGCATTTTCCGTCTTTTTGATCAGGATTATTCTAGGGAATCTTTGATCAAAATGTTCATTAATGGCACGGAGCCAACATGGTGCTAAAGACAGGAGCACCATGACGTTCCTCTGCAGCAAAGACTCAAAAAACTAAGCAAAACAGATGCAAACATCAATCCTGGAACCCTAAGCATCAAACGAAGGAATAAAGAACTCGATTAAACACCAAATGAAATAAGAAACTGACAGAGAACAGAGAACAAGAGAGCTACAGAATGGAGGTCCCCTAGCAACTAACACGGCATGGATTCATCATCTTGGACAACGGCCAACAAGGGACACAGACAGGGAGTAAGAGAAGGCAACTTCATGGAGCTCCCAACAGGAGACAGAGCAGCTGGTAACCTGGGATACATGCTTTCCCACCCCAACCCTTCTTCCCTCTACACAGCCTTCACCACTTTCCAACGGGCCATGATGGCTTGGCTGGAGAGACAATAGCTGACTGCTGCCTGGGTCTGCCCTGCCCTCACAGCACCATTTGTTTATTTTTTGATTTTTTTTTTGTTGTTGTTGCTTCTGTCTCTCTCCCTTCCTCCCTTTCCTTTCTCCCGCCTAGCGAACTCCATGTGCTATCCCCTCCCCTTCTTGATGGGCTGTGATTTTTTGGTTTGTTTGCTTGTTGTTTTTGTTTGTTTCTTCTCTCTCTCCTTTCCTTCCCTTTGTTTCTCCTGTCCACACAGCCCTGTGCACTGCCCCTGCCCCTTCTTGAGGGGCCGTGCTGCACTGCTCTGCTGGAGTGTCACTGCAAATAGCCTCCATGGGTCTGTGCCGCCTTCACAGACCAGCTCCCTCAGTGCCATTTATTTATTTATTGTTTGTTTGTTTTCATTTTCTTTTGTTGTTGTTTCTTCTCTCTCTCCCTTCCTTCCTTTCCTTTCTCCCATCCACCTAGCCCGTGTGCCGCCCTCCCTTCTTAATGGACTGTGCTGTACCGCTTGGCTAGAGAGCCTCTGGCACATGGCCTCCCTGGGTCTATGCCGCCCCTACAGGCTGGTTCCCTCAGTGCCATATTTTTCATTTTTCTTTATTTTTCCCTTCTCCCTTTTCCTTCTCCCTCCCACCTAGGTCCTGTGCTGCCTCTGCCCCTTCCTGACAGGCCATGCTGTGCCACCTAGTGAGAGAGACATCAGCTTGCTTCCACCCCAAATCCACCCTGCACCCAATGGCCAGCTCCCCCCTACTATGTATATATATATACATATATATATATATATATGTGTATATATATATATATACACTTGTGGTTTTTATTTTTGTATTACTTTTTATTAATTTTTTTGTTTGTTGGTTTCTCCTTCCTCTTTCTACTCTTTCCTTTCTGTTCTCCCACTCACCTAGGCCCGTGTGCTGCCCACACCCCTTCTCGAAAGGCTGAGCCACATCACTTGGCTACAGAGTCACCGGCACACGGCCTCACCAGGTCTGTCCCGCTTCCACCCAACAAATCCATTTTTTTTACTTCAATTTTTTCCTTCATTTTCTTCTTTTTTTTGCTTTTGTTTCTCTCCTTTCACCTATCCACTTAGCTCTGCACATCACATTCTCTCCTTTCCCTCCTGCCTATCTGCACCATGCACCAAGTGCCACACCCCTGAGGGGCACCAACATGGTCCCTTGGACCTCACCCTGCACTGCCCCCAACCCTACCCGTCAGCCCAAGTTGATGCCGAAAAACTACCCATCCCTGCCCCTCCATCCCCGCTAGACCCGCCCTGCTGCACCATAGCTGAGTGACCAGCCCTGCCCACCTGGACAACGTGGTGAGAAGTATCATGCACACAGGTGAGCAAGGAACAAAACACACCCAGCCCGCCTGCCCAGACATAACCAAATAAAACCAAAAAGCAGGACAAAACAATCAAATCTACAATCAATAAACAAATAAAATAATTACTGAATGTTCCAGAGACAGCAGACAATATCGAAACATATTAAAAAAACCAGGAGAGGAGGGCTCCAGAAAGTGACCAAAATCAAACACCAGATGACCTTCTGCTAAAAGAAAAGGCACTGGAACCACCTCATAGGGAATTCAAAACTCTAATATTCAGTGTTCTCCAACAGATGAAGGAAAATGCAGCAAAAATAAGGAAAAAATAGACAAAATCATGGAAAATACATACAGAATCAGGGAAAAAACAGACAATACAATGGAAGAATTCAGAAAAATAATACATGAACAAAATATCAAAAATAAATAAGCAGCCAGAAAACATAAAAAGCCGCAATTAGAAATCCAAAAGATAAACAACAAGACTGCAGATATGGACAGTAAAATAGAAGGTTTTAGGAGCAATCTGAAATAATGGAAGACAGGCTCAGCGAAATTGAAGACAAA